GTAATAAATCTAAATAAATGATAGTTTTTTTGTGAATAATCAAAACTTTCTCAACCAAATACCCATTAAAAAGAGAATTATCACAAGATTACACTAAGACCAAATTTGATTCTCCTCAAGGACGACAGACTGAATTTTCAGCAACGCATTCAGGCCCGTTTGGTTCTAAAGCTAAGTTTCCAAAAATTCTCTATATTTGATACAAAAAAATCATAAATTCAAACATTTGAAAAGATATTTTAAGCAGTTTAATTGCTTTTACTCTTGTTAAGCGTGTGGAATTTTAACATTGAAAAACGGGCTTATGAAATCCGATCACTCACGTACACCGGGCGAGCACACACACTCACTCGTACACTGGCCGAGCACACACACTCGCGCCACCGGGTCACGTCATATGAGTGTGACGATTAATAAGTTCCAATATAAATGTTAATACCGCACACCCTTGAATTCATACGAGTTCTTGCGTGCTCTTACCACTTCTTAGTGCATCACACTCCGACCTCGGGGGACGAGTCACCCGTTCAAAAGTCTTTACTTGCGGGTTCGAACTACTAACCTCGGGCGGCGAGTTAAACTCTTGTTAGGGGCCTAGAGCCACGCTTCTCTGAGCAATTTTTTCACTTCATTGACATTCACATTTCTCGAAAAGGTTGATATACTTTAGTTCTTTGGGGCTAGATTATCCGTTCGAGTGAGGAGTCCGCCTCACTTACTCGTGGATTCAATCGTTCTTTCAGAGACTGGGTTAAGACCTAACTTGGGAACTTGATGTCACTCTTTTCAAGTAGTGAGTCTGACTCACTTACATACTGAGCTGTGGTTTGACACCAGGCCAGATGCTTTATTCTACACTAGTTTCTTTTATGTGTAGGTACAACTGAATGAAGTGGGGGGCTGAGGGTCTTACCGTCTTCAAGGAAGCAAATGACGAACCTGACGAGTCTGGGCCCGACGAGAAGAACAGTAATAGACTTCCTATTCGCAGATGGCGACCATTGCAATAAAGGCTGAGGATCTCACCTCTTGCTTCATCTTGGGGGCGTCAGATGTACTCTTTTTCCCTTCATTAGGATTTTTTCCCATTGGGTTTTTTCCTAATGAATGTTTTTAATGAGGCATCTCCCCAACATGGACAAGGGTGGGGATCTTCTAGTCTCGGAGAAGAGCAACTGACTTGGACTACTCCCTCTTAGCCGAGTCTACTACTCGACTAAGGGAGTGGGGGACTCGTGATGGAGTTATGGAACTAGGCCCAGAGCCTAATCAGCCCAAGCCCTGAACTTGGACCCGTGGATCCAAGTCCACAACCTGGAGCCTGCCTGCCAGTCCAGCGGGGAGCCTGCTAGTCCGACCAACCTCCCAGCCCGAAAGAGTAACGGTCAAGCAATTAATGTGCTATTAATTATGTATATAAATTCGTAATAATGTTGTAATTAATTAGTCATTATTATCGGTAGCGGTTACGATTTGTATACGCTTATAAAAGGCGGGTTGTAATTCAGATTAGGGGATCAATTGGTAGATGCTATTTCTGGCTACCAAATCCCCTTTGCAACTTTCCTTATTCAGATTACTTTCTTGATTCCCGCTTGAGTGTCGTACGTAGCTTTCCTAAAAGCCTACGAGCGTCCTATTTTGGACCAACAGTAATAAATCTAAATAAATGATAGTTTTTTTGTGAATAATCAAAACTTTCTCAACCAAATACCCATTAAAAAGAGAATTATCACAACTTTTACCTTCCTAAAAAAATTATTTTGTACACAAAATTTGTTTAACTAACCATGAGATGTGCCCCCCCCACTTGAGATACATTGTCCTCAATGTAGGTTGGAGAATGTAATGAAAGATGAAATCTTCAATAATGGAACGAGGTGTTCTTGAGAGTAGGAAATCCATGATACCTGAGCTGAGATGATTTTTTTTGATTTTTTTTTATTTTATTTTTTTTATTTTTTTTATCAATTATAAATTAATATGAATATGTTTTTGTAAATAAGCATATTTATTCATAATATTCTTGTTTAATTATAAATAAAAATGATTATGTGTATAACTAACATATTTATTTATAATTGATTTTTTTGTTGGGTTGCCTCCCAATTAGCGCTCAGTTTAACGTCATAGGCCGGACACAACGTACCTTTTCACGTGTGATTGAGGTATTGAAGACGTTGGATGAATGTTACTCCCTCCGGTCCTAAATAAACTTCACACTTTGACTTCACACAAATTAAGGAAATAAATTTGACTTTACTGTAGAGTACATTGTTGTGACACTGTTTGACACTGTTTGGCATTGTTTTGCACTGTTTTGCGCTGTTTTGATGTAAATAATTTGCCAAATAAGGAAGGGAGAAGAATTATGAAGTTTATTTTGGACCTACCCAAAAAGGAAAATTAAATGTGAAGTTTATTTAGGACCGGAGGGAGTACCTTTTTGAGATCGTGAGGAGGCCATGGAGTTGTCTGTTCATTCTTTTCATTCCCGTGGTGTGTTGGAGGGCACTCGGGCCTCAATATTTGTGCTTTCATGATGTGTATGGCCTTGGGAGGGATGAAAGGATTTTTGTTGACCTCCATGTTTTGAATTGGTATGGATTGTGTTTTCCATAAATGGAATGTTTCATCGTCTCCTCCCACTCTCTTAGCTTTACGGTGCCCGCTTGCACATCAATGACGGCTGCGTAGTGGCCAAAAATGATCTCCCAAGGATGACGGGAACCTCCATCTCTTCCATGTCTAAAACAAGAAAATCTACCGGAAAGTAGAATTTTCCTACTTTGACAATAACATCCTCCATGATGTGGATAGCAGATTGTTCTATCCACTAATTGTAAGGCGACCGTTGTTGGTTGGAGTTCCCCCACACTTAGATTTATGCTAGCACCAAGGTCACAAAGAGACCTTACGTCCCCAATTTTTCCAATAGAGCATGGAATAGTGAAGCTTCCGGGGTCTTTTAGTTTTGGAGGAAGTTTGTTTTGAATAATGGCACTACATTCCTCCATTAATGCCACGGTTGTGAATTCCTCTAACCTCTTTTGTTGGAGATGATACCTTTAAGAAATTTTGTATATGATGGAATCTCCGCAATGGCTTCCGCAAAAGGTATGTTGATGCTCAATTTCTTAAAAATATCAAGAAATTTCTTGTATTTCTTATCATCTCCTTTCTTCTTCAATTTTTGTGGATAGGGGATGAGAGGAATATATTGAGCCATAATAGGTGGTAGCAGTGTGTGTGCAACCACTTCTTGTTCCTCCGATATCTTTCTCCTTTCCGGCATCTTGGGATCCTCCGTTTTCCTCCCGCTTCTTGTGGTAATAGCCATGATGCTCTCCCTCGGATTTACCTCCGTAGTTGTAGGGAATTTACCCTTCTCTCTAGAACTCACTTTTTGGGCGAGTTACCCCATTTGAACTTCAAGATTCCGGATGGACGCCTTGGTATATTGCTCGATGGTGTCTATGCGTTGGTTGAGTTTCATATTTTGATCTTCAAAGCGAAGATCCAACTTGGTGAATTGAGAGTGGAGATTCCCAACGGATGCCTCCACTCTACTATAGTTCTCTTCATTTTGGGCTTTCATGCTTGCCATGCTCTTGGATATGAATTGCATCATATCTTCCATGGTGGTCTCCTTAGGCTGCCCAAAATTAGGTGCTCCGGATTGGGGTTGTGGCTTCCAATTGCTCCCTTGGTTCCACCTTTGTTGATTAGAAGGATTATTGTTTCCCCGGTTCCCATAAGTGTTCATGAAATTTACCTCCTCAAGATGTTGAGATAAATCACCTTCCGGACTTTGAATGCTCTCCATATTGCCTATTTGCTTGACACCTCCCAATACGGCTTGAAGGGCTGTTTGGAATTTCTGCTCAATTTTTGACTCTATTTGTTCGAGCCTTTTGTTGATCTCGGTTGTGATAGAGATTTCATTCATCCCGACCACCTTGTAATCGCCTCCTTGAAGTTGAGGATTCAAGGCAATGGATTCAATGATTCGGAGTGTCTCAGTTTCATTCTTGTTCCCAATGTAGCCCTCAGCTCGGTTGTCTACAATGGCTTGGCAATGTGCATTGAAACCAATGTAGAAAGTGTCAATTTAAATATCAAGAGGAATGCGATGGTGTGAGCAATCCCTTAGCAATGATTTGAAATGCCGCCATGCATCTTGAAAGAGCTCACCATTTTGTTGTTTGAAATTGAAAATGTGTTGTCTAAGCTCTTGAGTCATGGTAGGCGTGTAGTATTTAGACATGAAGGCATTGTAACTACCTTCCCAAGTTGTGTAGCTAGCCGGAGCTTCTTCTAGGAACCATCCTCTTGCTGCACTTTTGAGAGTCAACGTGCTGATAACATGTTGTAGGGAGAATTATTCATAGAGTTTCATTACCCAAAGTCTTTATAAATAGGGATAAATTAGGGTTTACAAGTACGAGCCAATAGATCCATACTAAATAATTTACATTGAAAGTTCTTAATACATATTTTATCTAAACGATAACACACAACATAGAATTCTCTTCGATATAAAAATCATATCTTGTCACTACCTTTGTGGCTTTATTGCAATCATATATTTGGGGTTTAATGCATTAGCCCTCTGAGATTTAAAAAATGCGCCAAACCCCTTTTTGTTTTAATTAATTATGCACAAATCCCTTCTATAAACAAATTCAGTTGTCAAATAAAAGAAAAATAATTAACATTTTTGTATGATTTAGAGATTTTGACATATTTATTTGCATAGTCAATCAGAATATTAGGAAAAGTGATTTTAAAATCATTAAATTTATTTATAAAAAAAGGTTCTATGCATGATTAATTAAAACACAAAAGAATTTGATGCATTTTTCAAATCACAGAGGACTAATGCGTTAAATTTCTATATCACGAGGGGTCTGGTGAATTAAACCTCGTACATTTGTCACTATATTCATACGGAGTATTAATAAGTGGTCCAATTGCTGTGTTGGGCCCGAATTCTAGCCCATGAACATTAACCCGAAAATATGTGTCTTATGACCTTGAGCTAAACCCTGCACCCTTTCTTCCCTTCTACCCTTTCAGAATCGTCACTGCGGTGCTATGGCCACAGAAACACTGCCAGCCGCCGCCGTCACCGGCGGTAATGTGACAAGAGGCACAGTGGAGAAAGCTGTTACCGCTTTGCTCAAATGGAAGGATGCACAGTTGAAGGAACAAGCGCCGAAGCTACTACCACAAGACGAGTTCATCTACCTCACCATCACCCTCAAGAAAGTCCCTCCGATGGCTCGAACCAATGCCTTCCGAGTCGCCCTACCACACCCCCTCCACGAACAATCATCCGAGCGCTGTCTTATCATCGACGACCGGTCCAATTCCAACCTGACTTCAGCAGAAGCGAAGAAGATAATCAAGTCTCAGGATGTACCCATAAGCAAAGTCCTGAAGCTCTCAAAGCTGAGAACAGATTATAAGGCTTATGAGGCAAAAAGGAAACTTTGCGGTTCCTACGACGTGTTCTTGGTGGACAAGAGGATCGTTCACTTCCTTCCGAAGCTTCTGGGAAAGATCTTTTTCAAGAAAAAGAAGCTGCCTTTGCCTGTAGACTTGACGAAGAAGAACTGGAAGGTTCAGGTTGAGAGGGCCTGCGGGTCGGGCTTGTTTTATCTTTCCACAGGGACCTGTAGTGTGATGAAGGTCGGGAAGCTGTCAATGGAGAATGGTGAGGTTGTTGACAATGTGTTGGAAGCCATTTATGGTGTTGTTGGCTTTGTTCCCAAGGGATGGGGTGGCCTGAGGAGCTTTCACTTGAGATTAACTGGTTCTCTTGCATTGCCTTTGTATCAAGCACTGCCCGACCTGAAGCTCAAAATTACGGGGGTAAAGGAGGTTGAGGGTGAAGGCAATCTTGAGACTAAGGAGGCTGGCAGAACCCCTGAGACAGGCAAGAAAAAGAGGAAAGGGAGGCTCAGTGCAGTGCGGTATATGGATGCTGAAATAGGTGAAATCAAATCAGAGAGTGATGGTGACAATGTTGAGGATGATATCCAAAAGGATAATACAGATTTAGATGCTAATGAGGGAAATGTGGAAGGAGAAAGTGATGTTGATAGTGAGGAAAATGAGGGTGGGAATGGAAAGGAGGAAGAAGAGTATGATTTGGTTCCTACTAAGCTTAAAGCCAAGAAAGACCAGAAGGCAAAATCTCAGAAAGGCCATCTTTTGAATGGCCAAAAAACGAGAAAGAAAGTGAAAAGGGGGGATGACACAGAGGATAAGAAACAGAAGGAAAAGATGACGTCTTCCCTGAAGGCTAAAGATGAATCAGTTGTGAAGAAGGGAAAGCGAAAGAGTGTGGTTGGGATGAAGTCCAAAGAAGAGGTGATCAAGCCAAAGAGCAAGAGAAACAAGAAGAGTGAGTGAGCGAGCAGAATGTGGGCTTTGCTCAAAGATTTTGTTGTAATGGCAGATTCAAAACCTCTCTTACTGTCATTGTTGTTCTATTACAGTTTTGCCTTTTCCTGCGTTTAGGTTCTTATAATTATCATCATCCTGTTATTGGCTTTCAATCTTAATATTGATCAATGTGTGGAATTCGTGTGCTGTCTAGTTCCATGACCTTTCTACATGTTGCTTATTATTAACAGTCATGTTGTAACTTTTTGATCACTCTCTATTTCTCAGTTTTGCTTTTGTTTCTTTGTCACTATGGTTTAGTCATTCATACCCTAGCTGGATATTACATGTGGATGTTGCTGTTTAACTCCAAAATTCCCAATTAAACAAGTATCTGCAGGAATGAGTTTGAAAATCCCTGGAGCTCGTTTTATTCATTTTCTAACCTTTATTTGCTTAATGCAAATAGCTAAAGTGCTAAACCAAAGGTTTTTAACTTTTTATTAGAAAACTAAATCCATTCTACTTCCATGGCATTTGTTGGCAGTAGCAGTAGGCAGTACGCATGATGCTGAGATTTAGAAATTCGCTTCTAGTTTAATTGGTACTGGATTTGAACTTGCACAACTCAGTTCAGCCTCTAGTTCCTCCAAATGAGACTAACCAAAATGATATTGGGAAGTACACTGAAACTGATATTAGGATCTGAACCGGAGCCTTACCAGTAAACCTTGTCCCATGTGTGACCACATTGGTCCCCCGGGTACTGGCCGGTCCTGAACCAGAAAGGTACTGCCGGGGTACACCCTTAAGACTTAAGAGTGAGTACAATGAAGGAGGAGATGTATATCCAGCTAACCAGTTTTATCAGCTAAGTTCATCAATTATGTGTTCCGTTTGCTATAATTTATGTTACGCACGCAGTCCTCTACTAAAGTAGGCATTAGAATGATCCTCGACGGATGGCACTAGGGGTACGGTCCGGGTCGGTTCAGGTAATTGATACATTTTCAAGAACTGTCAGTTCCATTTAACGGGTAGGTTCGGTCCGGGTATACCAAGTTTCAAAATAGGAATCGGACCTTACCCTCCCCGTTAGAAACGGGCCGGTTCGGTCTGAGTCTTCTGTTCTGTTTTTGTAAAAAAAAATATGACTATGCAAACAAAGTTTCTAGTAAGTTATAAAGTTCTCAAGTTAATTATGTATTAATGTAACCATAATATTGTAAAAGTTCAAAATAAAAGTATAAGACAACGTTTAAAATTAGTTACAAAATATCGAATCATAAATCAATAAATTACACAATACACAACCACCTTAATTAAAATGTTAATCATCATTCATAAACTAATTAAAAAGATAGCACCATTAATTCATAAGAAATTAAACTAGTTACTATACATATTTGTCTATGAAAACAATTTAAAGCTTATTAAATCTCCAAGTATAAGTAAAATTAAGATAATTAAATGAATATGTCACACTTCATTGACTAAGAGTCTTTGTTTACAAAAAAATATTAAAGAAAGAAGGTTTGATGCATTTGGAATAGAGAATTGAGGAAAACAATTTAGGAGTTTAATTATACATACATGGAAATTATTTTTAATAGACTGAGAGGTTTCTTCAATTGGAAGTTTTTGTCTAGACACAAGAACATGAAGAGCTTTCGTGTATTGTTAGTATATTATACGTAGTATTATACTAGTATTAAATATAATAGAGATTATTAAAATAATATTTTAAAACGGTTCGGTCTGGGTACCCGTTTTTTCAAAGTTTAAGACCCGTTCGGTTCCTAAGTTTTTCAGGACCCGCCCCGAACCGTTTGGGTTTTCTAAAATTAGGACTCAGCCCTAACCTGTCCCGAACCTATATTATCCGGCCCGACTCGCAGTTCCAATACCCGTTTACCCACCCCTAGATGGCACTATGGCAGTCTATTCATTTAGGATGTATTTACATGGATGGGTTCCAGACCAGAATAAACAACACCAAATTTAAACAGACATAACCAAACTTAAATAGACTAGATTTAAACAGACCGGATTGAACCAACCCATATCAGATCAGAAAAGGGGAAATTACCCATTTGGACTCCTTTTCTCCACCGTATTTCTTTTATACTCCCTCTATCCCGAAATGAAGTTCCTGGTTTGATCTACACACATATTTATGTAAGGTATAGTTTTATTGTCTTTTCAAATATACCCTTACTTTATGTCAAATCAAGCAAAAAGTGGGTAAAAAGTAAAGGTGGTTGTGACTTTTTGGTTAAAAGTGGTTTCCTTTTATAGAAGCGAGAACTTCTTTTTGGGACATCCATAAAAGGAAAGCGGGAACTTCTTTTCAGGACGAAGGTAGTATCACCTCATAAACTTTTCTATTTCAAAAATAGGTTATAGCTTTGGAGTGAGCCATAAATCAGGCCAATTGAAATTTAGATTGATGGAGTTCTCTCCATTGCCGATTCCTAACTACGTCCAAAAGTTTGAATGCCCGACCCCAAGGCTCCCCACCCCAACCCGACAGGATAGTGGGGAGGTTAATCACGGTGACTCAGTCACCAAAGGGGCAGTAGGTCTTTACCCGTGCGCACCAGAAGGTCAGCCTTATTTCAGGTTCTGAAAACCCCCTTTGGCCGGTGCGGGATTCGAACCTTGGTCTACGTCCAATTTTTCCCACCGCTCGACCAACTGAACTACCCGTGTGGGTTGCCTCATACTAACTAGAGATGGAAGAACTATGCCTCTCCTTCGTCCAAGCCTCATACGATTTGAACTTCAACATCGAATGTTCACCAAGGAGTTCAACTGAATAGGATTTGTGTTGACAGTTGGAATTGCCGGTGATAGCGCCGCCATCCGCCGAACCTGATTTTGAATGTCCAAATTTTCTTTCATCGTTGAGTTTGGGTGCTGATTTGCTGCAACTTTGGAGAGCCACTATCCATGGCGCTGTGAATCTAGCATTCTGACTTCCTCTGACTGAATCGACCTTTGAAGGACAAGATTTCTAACCGCATCCATTCTCCTAACTTAACATGGCCAAAAAAGAATTTATTTCTTTTTCGTTGGTGATTTCTTTCTATCTATCAGATCTTATAGTCCTAAAACGGAACACGATCTTCTCTTCGTACTGTAGCTCCCTTCGAGATGAAGACAATTTCATATTCCGTGAAGAAAAGGAAGACGGTCCTCATGCTTGATGTTGATAGAAGAGAGGTCGATTCATATGTAGCTATGACTTCCTTTTTCGGATTGACAACTTTTTGGAGAGCCAAAATTATTTTTCCAGGAAGAGATGTTCGAATAATGTTGAATCATAGGAGCTATAATGACGTTCGGGTTTATCATCAGACATCAACCCTTACTTTTACAATTTTCGTTTAACCATCTACATTTTGAGCTTGTGTATTTAAAAATAGTACCATTGCAGCCGTTAATCCTAACATCAAGATATGATAAAACATATCACATCCATCCCATTAAATTCTTCCAACTTTCCTTTTTGGGTCGTCCCAAAAAATTCTTCTAATTTTCCTTTTTTGGACAATTTGTATGGCTCACATTCATTTCAACTTTTTATTTCACAACTACAACCATACATTTTCACTTTATTCCACTTTCTTAATATGCGTGCCAAGTCAAAGTTGGAAGAATTTATTGGGACGGAGGGAGTATTAAGGATGTTTTTACTTGGACTGTAATTCCTCCCAGATCAGACAAGTTCAGACCAGTCCAGACTTGGATAGTTATAAAAATACAAAGAAACCAGGCCAGATCAGTTTAGACCGGACCAGAAAATTACAGTCCAATAAAAACATCACAGTATCTTCAATTTTACATCAACAACTTGGTGCTACATCATAAACAACAAATGTTTGAGTGGCTTAATTCTTTACTTTAACTAACTAAATAAAATCATAACATGGAATGAGAAAATAGATTGTAGAAGTATGAAATGGATGACACAAAATTGTTCTGCCTTCCCAACACAACAGACATATTTGTGACTCAAGAGTTTAGCAAATGACTTTGTTACCTTCAAGACAATTTTTGTTCGTACACAGGAGATAGTTTTGGGCATCTACGATTTCAAGTTTCAAATTATTTTTATTTTTTGTTTCCTTCCATTTGATTTATCTAATATTGATTTATACTCAAGGTTTGTGGTCAACCTATGACTGATTATACAGCTGGACAAAAAGTTTAACTCCACCAGATTAGAACAACATTAATCATGATTATTACTCCGTACTTTACTAAGTAATTCAGAAATTTCATTTTGCTTGGTTCTGATGATATTGTTAGAGTTAAGTACTTAACGGTGTGAACTTTATATTTTTAAAAGGGAGATGAACTTTCACAAATGAAGTTTACTAAATGGCTGATGAGAATGAAATTTAGGAGTTCATTAAGGTGCTAAATTATATTAAAGATAGGTCTTCCAATGCCAATCCTCCAAACCCTATATGGATTCCTGAAGTGTTTGTTCTCTCAATTACTACTTCCGTTCCGGTGGATTTTGCCAAGTATGTGAGAAATAAGAATAGTAAAAATTGTGTGTTTGAGATTTGTGCAGAAGAGAGAGAAAAATGTAGAACCACAAATTAGTTGTTTTAATAGGAAAGTGTCAAAGTTTTTTGGGACAACCAAAAAAGGAAAGTTGGTAAAGTAATGAGACGGAGGGAGTACCAGAGCCGTGCCTTATGTAAGACTAGAGAGGCTTGGGCCTCAGGGCCCTAAAAATTTGTAAAAATTAGGGGCCCAAAATTTAATACATATTACGGAGTAGTATTATACATATGTATTTTCTAGTTATTTTTTATTTTTCCTTTTGAACAGTTCGACTTCTATTTCTAGGCTTCTAGGCTCCAAGTTCTATAGTTAATTCTATCGGTCTATGTTTTTATTTTGCTTATTTTGTTATTTGTTTGTATTTTCAGAAATTTTCTAACTTTATATTGATGTGCTAAATGCTATCGTGATGTATAATTAATTTGTCATATGTAAATGCCAAATAGACTAATTTGTAAATTTTTAAATACTAGTTGATTCTTGCTTGTTTTTTATTCATTGTTATCAATATTGCAATTATGAAATTCTCAATTCACATTAATTAAAATAAATGCTTTGTATTTTATAGTGAAAATTACTAATATATATTGTTAAAGATTCCACTAAATTATGTATTTATTTATTTTTTAGTATCATGCCTCTCAAATCTATGTCTCGATTTCAAAAGAGGAAAACAAAATGACGTACTGAATCATTAACTCAAAGTCAGGCCAAAACATTAATAAGTACATAGTACTTGATTTCGAATAAAAGTGCCACTTCAGAGAGTACATCGATCTTAAACCATGACTCAAAAAAGGTTGAATGGATTAGCTATGATATCAATTGAGAAGGAATTCATTAGTAGCATAGATTATGCCGACTTGATTAATACATTTGCATCTAAATATGTTCGAGGAGTTGTACTTAATTAGTTTTTTAATACACCCAATGTCATTTTGCTAAATTACAAGACTTTACTTTAAGAATTGTTGTTTTGTGATATTTAAATATTACTCCGTAAATCATTGAATTTTAATGATTCTATATGACAAAGAATCACTGTGTTTAGGGCCCATTTATGAAGCTCGACTCAGGCCCGAGTTTGGGTAGGATCGACACTAGGGAGTACTTAAATATATATAATTCTGTATTAGTAAAAAATAAAAAAGTTAGATTTTGAAAATTTACAACGAGACAAATTTAACAATATTTTTTCATAAAAAATATCAATACATTAATAAATAAACGTAATCAAAGTACAACATGTGAATAGTGTAAAATTCAACATGTTGCATTTATTTAAGAAGGGAGGTAGTATTTCATTTCTTGGTAAACTATGTTTACTAACTTTGGCTTTAATTAACCATTGTTTAGTAAAAAAAGCTCAATAAACAAATATTTGTTTCACATCAATTGAGTTATGCATTGAGTTTCAAATATCCAAACCCCCTTTCTTTCGGGCATGACTATGCATCGTTGTTATTCTTGTATCTTCCCCTCGAGTCTTCCTTGTGTCCTTCATCTAACACAAACGAGATAAGGGTCAGATTGGTCCTCGAAGTTGCATAAAAAAGAGTCAAATAAGTCCTTATATAGGAGGCTCTGTCCGGCTGTCGCCATTCGGGGCAGTTTACTCATACCAAATTTAAGCTAAAACTTCAATCGGGAAGACATTCAAATGAAGTCTTGAAGATAACTGCGCAGTTACCTTCAAGAATTCATTTGAATGTCTTCCCAATTCAAGTTTTAGCTGAAATTTGGTATGAGTAAACTAGACTTAATGAATAAGATGCTCAAAAAATTTCATAAAAAAATTCTACCGGGAACCTCCCCAAATGGCGACGGCCGGACATTAAGGACTTATTTGATCCTTTTTATGCAATTTCGAGGACCAATCTGACCATTATTTCTACCAGAAACGGAGCCTTATAAATATATAAAAGGAAACCAAACTTCCTTTTGAGTCGTCATTTGTTTGTTGAAAAGTTTGGATTTTTTTAAGTTTTACTCATTCCATTCTCTTGTTTTGATCAACTTTTGCTTAAAGATATGCGAAGTATTATTGAGCTATTTGAGTAATATATGTGTACCATATAAGAAAAGAGAGAGAAAAGTTTACCCCATATATGCATATTAGAGAACTCCTAAATGAATTGTCAAAAAGCTTTGCGCTTATGTATACTCATCCTAAACATCTGTTTATGAGTATTAAGTTTTAGCTTCCCAATAATATGAAGAAATGGAGTAGGTTGAAGAAATTTGCAATTCTTTACGTTAACATTTGTGGATTGGTTCGATTTGATTTAGTTCAGTTGATTCAATTTGAATGTGTATTTTTAATAATATACTATGATGTTGACGAATTTGTAGTTCAACTCGATTTATTCATTTCCCCCGATTTCGATTTAGTTCAGTTTAATACGGTTTTAAAGAAATACTCACACACTCAAACTGAAGTCTGAAATGCATATGATTTAATTTCAATCCAATTTAATTCGATTTGATAAGATTCAATTAGGAGTAATATTTATGTTGTTTATGCACATAAAAGGCAGTTGTCAATCATTAGTCCTTCCAACATTTTATAATTTCTATGTTGCATGACGAAAATTAAGAGGAAACGAGAAACGAGAAAAATTAATTTTTGTTCAAAAAACGCTTGCTTGAAGAATTTCTAAACCGTTTTCGTAGAATTTCCGAAACAAATACGTGCTCTTTGAGTTTATGTGCTACATGATATAATTTCAACAAAACTGCTTGATGTACACACCCTTTTGCACACCTTATACACACCATGTTTGTGAAGTTTTTTTTGTCTGTGAATCCGGTTCACAGACAATATTTTGTTTGTGCAAAATATTGTCTGTGAATATCAAACCTTTCACAAACATATGTGTGTACAAAAATGTGTATAAGAGTGTGTACAAAAGGTTTTTTTTGTAATTTCAATCATGTTTTGTGTTCTATTCTTTTTCTCCTTCATCTAAACAATCAATATCAATTTTTACTTGAAGGAATTGTTTCAATAAGGGATCAGACCAAAACATACCGAATCATTGTAAAAAATCCACCGGACACTTATGAGACCATCATCCGATACTAACCAAATCTGCCTCTGTCTCCAACTCTCTACGACTCTACCGTTATCGCTCACTCGAAAAACGAGTAACTTAAAGCCCGAGAGTAAGGATGTTAATCTATCCGCCGGTGTCCGCAACCCACAGTCTACAGGACGCTTGACTCGCCTCTCCGGTGATTATTTTAGGCTTTTTGAGTGCTGCTAGCAGTTAATTTGATGGGTCTTTTTCAAGAATTTCCCTTTTTATGCTTTCAATGTTATTCCGCACGGAATAAGTTTAGTTTATTTTCTTTATAATATGGAGATTGAAAGAATGTGTTTTTTTAGTGAAGGGATGGTGAACATTAGAGATAGAACTGATGATTTCAAAGATGCTGTCCACCGATCAGCCGTGTCTCTGGGGTTTGATGAGGTACCTTGAATTAATTAGCACATTGCCCGTTTTATTCTATCCTTAATTTGGCCTGATGCCGCATATTCTTCTTTAGAGATGCTCATATTTTACATGGCATAATGCTTTTTCTCAATCTTCTTTGATCATTAGTCTAGTGTTCTAAGGATTTGAAACCCAAAGTGGGTGTCGAAGTCCTTACCGTGTTCACATTTTACTTTCAGCATGTGTTGTTTCTCTCCCACTCTAATGTGGACTTGTAGCCTGTTCGGTAGGCTTCATTTTAGTTCATTAGCTTTGTCAACCATTTTTTCACAAACGCTAACTATTCTCATGCACGAGCTGAAATGGCTAAAATTGATACTTTTAGCTTCATTTTTAGATATCACCTCCTTCAATTTATTTACAAATGTATTTTTAAGATAATTCAATAAATAGAGTCATTTCTGCACCACTGAAGCCATTTGAATAGATTTCGCCACTTCAACATTTTAAGCCTTACCAAGGGGCTCATAGTGCTTTTTATTGGGTTTCCTAGTTTTTTAATTGCGGCCAATCCCGGTCATTGCAGCCTTACACTCATGTCTTAAAATTTTAAGAGTCCACCCATGTCTCACAACAATATTAAAGAGACATATATGGATTTAGAAGTTCTAGGGTAACTGGGTAGTCGAATGGCTTCTGTCTTTTAGTGTTTGCATTATAGCCGAATTGAGTGACCCCAACCGATTTATCAATCTATTGTAGCATTACTTTCATTTTGCTAAAAGAGCATTTTTAATGCTCACTTCCATATTTAAGTCAGAAGTTAGATTGTGTTTTCTTTTGCCCATCAGTTGTTCCTTGTGAATTTCAGAAGCAAATTGATGTCTTCTAACCAATCATAGTTGTCGTTGCTTACAGACAAGAATAGCAGCTATATTAGCTTCATTTATCATGCGCAAACCGCGACAAAGATCACCTTTCATCAAAGCTGCACTGAAGACGGTATATTTTTCTGATTTTAAGGACTTATTCTCTTATTGTTACATGCTTTATTTTTAAAAAATTGTATTTTTAAAACAAATTTCCATTTGCTTAAAACAATGAATGTACTGTTTTTGGGTGTGGATTTCTGAATGCAGACTACAGAAATGTTTATTGAAGAAATTCTCTTTTCAGGTAGATAGCATTGGAGTCCTCGAAGAATTCATGTTAAAACATAAGAAGGACTATGTGGATTTGTACCACACAACTGAACAAGAGAGACACAGCATTGAAAATGAAGTAAGATTGATATATTCTATGACTTCTATCAGTATTTTCCCCAACTTCCCACTTAACTAAATCATCAATTCAATGTTCATAATGCTTTCAAAACTGAGATGAATCTGGCTTGTTTTTTTATTTTAAACTAGAATGATATAAACTCTATTGCATTTAGGGACTCTTTTAACATAACTTTGATCATAAAATTCTGTGCAGGTAACTTTTTTCATAAAATCTTGCAAAGAGCAAATAGATCTTCTAAAAACCAGTATAAATCAAGTAGATGATGCAAAGTCAAAGGGTTGGATTGGATTCAAGGATGGATCTATGAATGCGGATACAGTTGCACATAAACATGGAGCGTTAACAATAATCTCCTCTTTGAGATTTGAATGGTTTATGTGTTTTTAGTGATCAATCCCAGCATTTGTATTAGTAACTTACTAACCGATGGAGCATTTGATTAATGGAATGTGGCATTACCTAGGTATTGTAATCGAATCAAGTCATCTAGGTAGTGTAACATTAAATTTTATGATTCTGGCGATTAGATTACTGCGATGATATGGAGATTAATATTATCACCATGTCCAGATGTTTAAGAAAGACAAAGTAGAATGGCATTACCTCCTTATAAAGATAATATAAGATTATTTTGTAATATTTTAGAATATTTCAAATTTATCGAACAACAATTAGTCCTGCATTAATGTATGGCGTAGAGTGTTGGGCGGTGAAGCAATGCCACATTCAAAAGATGATTGTGGCAGAGATACGTATGTTGCATTAATGTGTGGACATACCAGAAAAGACCAATTGAGGAATGAGATAATCAGACAAAAAGTGAGAGTAACACCTATAGAAGATAAGATGCAGGAGTCTCGTTTGCGGTGGTTTAGGCATGTGCGTAGAAGACCAAGTAATGTAGCTATTAGATGACTTGAGGGGTGGGAAGAAGAGGCAGAGAAGAGAGGGAGGGGAAGACCCAAACAGACTTGGATTAGAGGAATCAGAACTGATATGTGTCTTCTTGGGTTGGATGAGAGTATGACTTTGGAGAGAGCAAAGTGGAGGGCGCACATCCGTGTGGACGACAATTGATGTCTTTTCTACCTTTCCTCTCTCTTCTCTTTTATCGTTTATCTTCTTTATCTTTTTATATTTTAATGTTATCGATTCAGGTTAGCCGACCCTGAATTCTTTTGGGATTAACTCCCAGTGATGTTAATAGCTGTGCTATCGCGTGCTATAGTGGTATTGCGGAGCGGAGGCCAAGGTTGGCGCTACCAGAGGACCTGTAGCGTCGTGTTTGGGTGTAGCGGATATAGCGGCTGCATTAGCCGGCGCGCTAATTCGGTGAAGGCGGACGCTATAGCGGTGCAATTCATCGAATGGAAGTATCTGCATATTATCTGCGTATTATTTACTTACTGCTGAGGTAGAAGGGTAAATTTGTCTTTTAAAATAAGATATTAACAACTTAAAACCCTTCTACACGTGAGTAGAAGTGCAAACAAATACAAACGGCCCCATCTTTTCAAAGTACCCCGTATCTCATTCTTTGTGCTCTGCGATGATATCTTTCTCCTTTGCGACGACATCTCCTTCAAAAACGACAACATTTGCACTCCTTTTCGCTTCTTTCCACGGGTAGAATCTGCTGCTTCATCTTCTTGAGTTCTTTCATTCTTCTACTTCTGCTGCAAGCCTGCAACATCTTTTACAAGAAGATCAACCTTTGCTGCGGTCTTCTTTTCTTCTTCTCATTATTCATCTTGTACAACAAAGTTCTTTATCATCTCGTATGGAGTCTACTGTCATTAATAGCATCTTATGTTTGGCTCATGAAACTAAAGAGTATTTCTAAGTAATTTAGGATTTATGAATGTTAAGACTTAAGATGTTTGCTACCTTCATTGGCATATATCATACTTTTTGAATTCAAAATGTGTACGTAATGTATTATACAGAGTATATGCTTCCCGTAGTCTAAATAGCGTTTTTGGGGCTCGCCGCTACGCTCCGCTATCCGGGATTGACAACACTGGGATTAAGCCTTGGATGTTGTTTGTTGTTGTTATTCCAAATTTGTCTTCAAATATTTTACAATACCCGTAAAACCATTTTCCATGAACCAAGCAGTTCCCTTACATGCTATGATCATATTATATTATACAAGGCAGTGTATATCCCATGAACCAATCAACCTATAAGGGTAAATGTTCTGGAATAAGTCATAGTTGTGAGACCTGTTTGATCTAAATAATTGATGTGTAGAGGCACCAGGGTTTTTGGTTTCTTTATTAGTTGTTGGATTTATCGTGAACATGAAAATGCATTATTTGGCGCAAACATAGTTTTGAAAGACACCAATATTTTGATCAATTGATTGAAACATATTAACAGGTTTTGATTTTATGCGAAAAGCTCCACTCTGTCTCTTCGCAATTTGACCAACTCAGAGCCATACGCTATCAAGATGTTATTAACCGTAAAGCACTGAGAAGGAAACCTAGAAAGGCTGGCAAAACTAGTGCAACAGAGATATCCACACCCTCTAACTTAGAAGAACAAATTAAGCAAAGTGATGCTCAGACCTTGGAGTCCAATGACCTAAGATCAGAGCCTGTCAGAGTTCAAGAACAATTTTTAGATGATGAAACACGGGCTCTTCAGGTAATCTTATGTTTTCTGCCAAGGATCAGTTTGGGTAGAAGCGTTTGGAGAGGAAGGCTTCAGAGGGCTTAGTACATAAATTGAGCTCTTCTAAAACAAATGAAGGGTAATTGAATTTTTGTATGGTAGTGTATTATGTTGCCTTCAGTTTTTATTAAAATCTGACATACATCAAGATATTAAGTTAGCCCTCCAGAATCCTTCAACCAAACTTACCCCATCGGTATGCTTGGATGGAGTTCCAAACTGTACAAAGGGGTCGTTTAAATGGATGGTCTTAGAGAGGAAAGGTTTAAGGGCTTAGTCTATATCATGAGAAATAGAAACTTTCTGAAAAAATAAACTGCACGTTATATGATCACATATAATAGATACTCCACTCGAAGCCTTCCATCTAAGCAGACCCTATATGATTGTTGTTAGATGGCAGATCTCAAAACCCAAAGTCTTTGATACGTCCAAAATCTCATAGGGTACGTTTGGTGTATGGGGGTTTAGAAGGTTTTGGAGGCTTAGTCTATAACAAAGGAACATTTCTAGAAACCTCATAAAACCTTTCATGTTATTCCTTCCATTTTCATAAAACCACAATTCTAAAACTAGCTAAAAGTTTAGCCTTCAAAATCCCCCCCTTCAAAAAATTTCATCCAAATTGACCATTAGAATTAACTTATTACATGATCTGTAATGCAGGCAGAGTTGAGTGGCCTTTTGGATGCTGTTCAAGAAACTGAAACCAAGATGGTGGGAATGTCTGCCTTGAACCATCTAATGTCCACACATGTTCTTCAACAGGCCCAACAGATTGAGTATTTGTATGACCAGGTTAGTGAAGCTTTTATTATTGCTTGTATTACATTCATGTTGAATTTTAGAAAAATGTTATTTTCCACCTATCTCTATCAGGCATTAGGATTTAACACAGATTTATTGGAATATAATGCATTTACCCCTGTCCCAAATTAGTTCGTGCTTAAGAAAAGTCACTGCACACATAGAAATACTCTGTCTGATCCTCTGCTATTCTTATTTAATTTTTAGCATTAATTGCATTTCTTCTTTTCAAGGCACATTTTGAAGATCTAAAGAAAAATATTCATTGAACTGTTAAAACGATGATTAGTATTTTGGGGCGTTTTTCTTTTGATAGAACGACAAATATGCTTGGTAACACACACATTTATGATTACTTGTTTACATTCTTAAGTTGATAAAGAGCTGATTTAACAATAATTCCATTGATGTAACAGGCAGTTGAAGCTACAATGAATGTAGAGCTTGGTAACAAGGAGTTAACAAAAGCCATTCAACGCAATAGCAGTAGCCGAACTTTTCTTCTGCTCTTTCTGTTTGTACTCACCTTTTCAATTCTTTTCCTTGATTGGTATAATTAGTTGGGTTACTCATATTTTAATTCTTATGTAAGGTTATATTCCCTTATTTTAAATTGCTTTTAGTAATGGTATACATTTGTAGCATCTTTGTGTTTGGGGCTTAAAAAACAAATGCGTATTTTTTAATTATGCGCATCTTTTGCAATAATGGGGTTCAGTTGCAGTAACAAAATATGTTTCGTACTCTGGAAAAGCACCCGAACAAGAAAAAATGCATATTCTTCTATTAGATATGTACTTTACAATATTTGGTTCTGCTATGGTGAATGACACAAATGAGTTGCTGCTTTTCCATGCAACTGGTGGGAATGGATATGTGATCAAAGGGGTTATCTTCTGTGACAAAGACATTCCGGGAGCGAAGTAGCATAAAAGTTCTCCTCCAGCTTAGGCGGTGACTGTCCTACCACTCTTGAGGTTGGTGCTCCTGTTCTGTTCTTGTGCACGTCTCTCAACTTTGTTGCAAACTCTTCCTAGGGTGATTTCCCCCTGTCCATTTCCTCCAAAAGCTTAACGATTTTTTCCCTGCAAAACAATACGTAATATGAGATATCTCAGACAAAGCGAAAGACTTTATCAAGAGAGAATGCGCTCCATTTGGGATAGACCTCATGGTGGTTCATATGCAGATGGGGAAAATAATGGTGAGTCTGTCTGTTAAAATGTGGTGTCTGCAAAGCGAAAGACTATCAAGAGAGAATGCGCTCCATATCATAGATGTGAGTAGTAGTCTGTCTGTTAAAATGTGTTTGGGGAAAATAATGGTGAGTCTTAGAATGCATAATATTCTGATTACCAGAGCATTACAGAGTGCACAAAAAATGTATTTAAGAGGCCGTTTGGCAACCCTCATTTTCGGCTTATCAGGCTTATCAGCCAACTTTTTTACCAAACACGTAAATTTTGCTTTCGCGCGCTGAATTGTGTAATAAGCCGAAAAAGTAAGGTTGGAGTTACTTTTCTGGCTGTATTGTCTGAAGTTACTGTAGATGACCATTTTAGCTATTTTTACATATATTTCTTTATTTTATTAATAAAATATATTTTAAAAATATTTTTTTCTTGTATCAGCAGAATCAGCCAATGCAGCCACTTCAGTCAGAACTTCATAAATTTCAGTAGAATCAGCCAGAACAGCCGATTTTCGTGCTGCCAAACGGGCTCTAAAAAATCAGCACACAAATAGAAATCTGATATTCTTTTGTAGTAGTATAAAATAGTATTAATACTACGTATGATTTAAGTTTATATATATGTTATTATAATTTATAAATATGTTATAATTCTCCCTCCTACCCTTTATAAGATGCACTGAGCGAGTGAGCGAGCACGAAAATGAAAAAAATAAAAAATGTGGGATTGATATTTATTTGGAAGAGAGAAGTTATATGAATAACATTTTAGTTTCCTTAAAAAGACTAAAATGTGATTCACTCCACATAACAAGAACCATATTGTTGTGAAAATGAAGAAGATGAAGACTAAATTTGAGAGATAGATATATTAATAAAAGCTCTAAATATCTTCTTCTTAATATCTGAGAATTTCTAAATTTCTGAATTAATTTACAATGCCTCATCAAGCTCCTATTTATACTGTTTGAACTTGATGATTAGTCACTTAAGGGATGAATCTACAGATTTGGTGGCAATAACAATTTGAGCCATCTGTTCTAACTAGGTTACAAGGATCAAACATAATTTCTGGATTGATGACAAGGATGAACAATTCACACTTGTCATTTCCAGGATTTTACAACACTTCCCCTTGAATGTTCATCCTTGAATAGTTATCTATTATTTTAAAAAACTTATTGTGAAAATTAAGGGGTAAAAATTACGACTTATAATGTCGTTGTATTTGGATGTACTGTCTCGTTAAAAACCTTATCAGGAAAAACCCAGTGGGATAAAAATCTGATGAAGGGAAAAAGAGTGCAGTGCATTCAAATACTCCCCCTGAATTTAGTATAAATTATGAAGACGTCGCATGCCGATTTTCTGTACAAGTTCCATGAACTTCTTCGGGGGTAAAGATTTGGTGAAGAGATCGGCTGGATTTTCACTGGATCTGATTTGTTGAATGTTGATCGTCCCTTCTTTCTCGAGATCATGAGTAGAGAAGAACTTTGGTGATATGTGTTTTGTTCTGTCTCCTTTGATGTAGCCTTCTTTAATCTGAGCTATGCACGCAGTGTTGTCTTCGTAGATCACAGTAGGATGACAAGTAATAGACTTCATACCGCATTCATTTTGGATGTGTTGAATCATAGATCGTAGCCACACACATTCTCTTCCGGTTTCATATAGTGCAATTAACTCAGAATGATTTGACGATGTAGCTGTCAATGTCTGCTTCATAGATCTCCATGAGATTGCGGTGTTACCATAAGTAAATACGTACCCGGTTTGTGATTTCGCCTTTTGAGGATCTGATAAGTATCCAGCGTCTTCATATCCGATTAAAGCAGCCTTTTCATCTTTGTGGTAGAATAAGCCAAGATCCTGTTCCAATGACGGAATATGTGCTTGATCCCGTTCCAATGACGTCTTGTTGGGCATGAACTGTACCTAGCTAATAAATTTACGGAGAATGCAATATCTGGTCTAGTATTATTAGCTAAATACATTAAAGCTCCAATAGCACTCAGATATGGTACTTCGGGACCGAGTATTTCTTCATCATCTTCTCAGGGACAGAATGGATCATCGTGTATGTTGAGAGATCGAATCACCATCGGTGAAGTCAAAGGATGAGCTTTGTCCATATAGAATCTCTTCAAAACTTTCTCGGTGTAATTGGATTGATGTAGGGGTGGATTCGGGCCGGGTCGGGCCCGGTCGGGCCGCCGGTTCTAGAATAGTGGGCCCGGGACCGGCCCGAGGGTTGGACGGGTCCGGTTCGGGCCGGGCCACCCGCCCGGGTCACGGGTCGGGCCACCCGCCGGGCCGGGCCGGGCCAGGCCGGGTCGGGCCGGGTAATTTTTTTTTTTTTTTTTTTTTATACTTTATAGTTTTATACAAGTATTAAAAACAAACTTCAAGTGCATTTATTTGAAATGAAATAGGAACTACATTTGAAAATTAAATAGGAACTATAATTGTTTTTAATCGGAATCTCCGGCATAAGTAGAGCCACCTTCTGTAGATTCATCCATAAAGTGTTGGGATGGAGTGATGTCAATTTCTTGAGCTCTACGTGCTGCTTTCAACCAATCGTGGTAGCATATAAGCATCTCAAGAGATTCAGCGCTCAACCTCGTTCTGGTTTGTGTTAGAACATTGCCGGCCGAACTAAATTCTTGTTCCACGGCAACCGTTGAAACCGGCATTGATAGCACTTGCTTAGCCATCTTTGCTAAAACCGGGAACATTCTTTCTTTTCCCTTCCACCAGTTTAGTACGTCAAAATCATCATCTTCTTCAAAATCAACATCATAAGTTAAATACAAAGAAATCTCATTAATTGTGCTTTGTTGTGTAGCGGGAGTTGATTTTGTTTTTTTAATAAGATTGGCAAACGTAGATTTGAAAATTGATTTTCCTTTAGATGATGTTTGTGTCGGGGGAGGGGGCACATTGCCATATTGTGCATGAAACTCATTGAATAATGCATAAAATATATCACTAACCTCGTTGTATTCTATTTTCGGATCAATTGGGTTGTCCTCATACATTGGCAATGGACCAAAAAAAGCAGCATAATAATAATTCAAACATTCTTCTAAAGAATCAAGTCTAAAACGAGGATCGAGAACAAATGCAATACCATAAATATGCGGAATATGTGAATAATATTTTAAAAACTTTTCCTTCATAAAACCAGCAAAATAATTCACATAATCAACATTCTCAAAATTTGAAAAAGCACCGGCGAGATTAACAGCTTCACGAATAAATTGGTTTGAGGTAGGTTTATAAACATGACTAAAAGTTTCAGTTGCATTATTAAAATATATCAAAGCATTACAAATTTTTTCACAGGTGTCGATCTCAGCCGAGTTTATAATATAGTTATCATATTGTTTCATAAAAGCAGGAAAATGTTGTTTATATCTAAGAAGAACTCCAATTAACTTATAGGTACTATTCCAATGAATAGACAAATCTTTTGGAAAAGCCACATATCTCTCACCTCTTTCTATCAAATAATCATGCCATTTTTTCCTAAGGTGTCCATTACCCCAAATACGTCTAATCCCCCCCTTGACTACCTCCAACGATGCTCCCAACGCTTTTAGACCATCTTGCACACATAAATTTAGAACATGACATGCACATCGTTGATGAAAAAAATCTACCCATCAAAGAAGTAGAACCACACAATTCACGCAATCTAGGAATAGCAGCAGTATTATTAGTAGCATTATCAAAACCAATAGCAAACACCTTATCAATTAAATTATACTCAATTAAAATACGTTCAATCAAAATATAAATATGTTCAGCGGTGTGACGATCATTAAATTCACGGAAAGCAAGAACACGTTTATGCATATGCCAATCATTATCAATATAATGTACAGTCAGACCCAAATAATGTAAATTATGATAAGTATCCTCCCATATGTCAGAACATACAGTAACACGTCCATCAAAGTCTGCAAAATAATTTTGTAACCTTACCTTTTCCGCACCATAAAGCCTTGAAATTTCTTTCTTAACCGTTTTGCGACTATAACCTCTATATTGCGGATTTAAACAAGTTTGTGCATAATCACGAAAAGCAAGACTTTCAGAAAACAAATAAGGCAAATTTTCTTCAACAAGTAAGTTAGCCATACCTGTCAAATTTTGTGCATCATTGTATGAGAAATTACCAAAAGCTTGTTGATTATTTGCAAACCTCGATATTTGCGTTTGCTTCCCCGTTCCGCCGCCTAATTTTGCATACTCCACCGGGTGTTTGGACTTAAGGTGTCTTGTGGCGGATCCGTATCCGCCGGAAATCCCCAAGCTATAGTTTTTCTTGCACCAATTGCAAGTTGCGGTCCAATTCCCGGTGTTCGGGTCCTTCCACTTAGAAAAATTATTAGCCATTAATTCAGATTTACTTTTTTTTGTACCTGTTTGGGATGAGGCTGCTTGGTCGGCGTCATGGCTGCCGCCACCCTCCTCGTCCTCGTCGTTGTGGCTCTCCGGAATTGCTTCCTCCACATCGTCGTCCTCGTCCTCGAGCTCTTCTTCGTCAATGGTCCTCGGTTGGTCTTGAAAAAACCGGGAATTATGTCGGTGCAATTCTTGTTCTAGTTGTTCGTCGGTCATCGCATCCCCATCCCTCCTTACGTAACCCGTATCAAAATCATCTTGACTTTGAGATGAAGAGCCGAGATGTGATTTACCTTTGCGGGATCTCTTCCTCGCAAGCTCGTTCGTTCGGTTGCGCTCGAGGTTACCCATATCAACCGAATATCTAGGACGATCCATCTAAAAAATGTAGCAATTAATAAAAAATTGTAAAAAACTAATTAAGTATTTATCTAACTATTAATTCGAGTTATAGCAAATTAAGTAGTGAATTAACTAGTTTTGTGTACAACATTATTTTTAAACTAGAGTCAAATGTAGCAATTAATAAAAAATTGTAAGAAACTAATTAACTATTTATGTAACTATTAATTCGAGTTATAGCAAATTAAGTAGTGAATTAACTAGTTTTGTGTACAACATATTTTTTAATAAAAAAATTGTAATTCCAACTATATGAATAAAAAATCGTAATTCCAACTATATTAATAAAAAATCGTAATTCCAACTATACTAATTAACTAGTAATTAAAGAAGTGTAAATAATAGAATAATTTCGTACCTCTTTCGGACTTTCGGTCTTTCGGATGGGAGTAATAGAATAACTTCAAATTAATTAGATATAATTCCAACTATATTAATAGATATAATAAATATATAAGTAATATATAATTAGATAACAAATATAAGTAATATAATACTATTTATATCTATTTATAATTTATATAAGTAGATAATTAATATAAACTATAAATAATAAATATAATATATTGGAGAATGGAGAATAAGAGAATTAGAGAGTAGAGAGTTAAGAATAGGATTTAGGAAGAATTGGAGAAGAGATATGAAAAAATGTTTAAGATTAGGAGTATTTATAGGTTTTTTTACCCCCCACCCCCCCCACCACCCCCCCCCCCACCACCCAACCCCCCCGGACCCCCCCTATAACCCACCCAACGGCTATATAGCCGTTTGGGTTGTCCCCAGCCCCACCCCCAACGGCTAGTAGGAGCCCAACCCCAAAAAATTTTTTTTTTTTAAAATGGATGGAACCGGACCCGGGCCGGGTCACAAAATGCTGAACCGAGCCCGCCCCGCCCCTTCCCCCCGGTTCGGGCCCAGACCCGGTCCCGGACTGCCCGACCGGGCCGGGCCGGGCCGGGTGGCCCGAACCGAATCCATCCCTAGATTGATGGATGAAAATTCCATTCTTCAAATGCTCAATTTGAAGTCCGAGACAAAATTTGGTTCTCCCTAGATCTTTCATTTCAAATTCTTTCATAAGATATTTTGCAGTATTTTCAATCTCATCGGGAGTTCCAATAATATTTATGTCATCAACATATACTGCAATTATGGCGAATCCCGAATTTAATCGCCGTATGAAAACACATGGACTAATTGGATCATTCTTATATCCTTCCTTAAGAAGGTATTCACTGAGACGATTATACCACATTCGTCCAGATTGTTTTAGTCCATACAATGACTTTTGTAGTTTAATGGAAAACATTTCTCGAGGTTTCGAGCTATAAGCTTCAGGCATTTTAAATCCTCCGGGAACTTTCATATAAATGTCTGTATCGAGTGAACCGTATAAATATGCAGTTACTACATCCATTAGGCGCATTTGCAGCCTTTCAAAAACAGACATGCCGATGAGAAACCTTAATGTAGTTGCATTAACTACTGGAGAATAGGTTTCTTCATAATCAATTCCCGGCATTTGAGAAAACCCTTGGGCAACAAGTCGGGCTTTATATCTTACAATTTCATTTTTCTCATTGCGTTTACGCACAAATACCCACTTAAAGCCTACTGGTTTTACGCCTTTTGGCGTAGGGACTATCGGTCCAAAAACATCACGTTTTTCAAGTGATTTCAGTTCAGCCTGAATTGCTTCATTCCATTTTGGCCAATCATGTCGTTTCCGACATTCTTCTATTGATGTTGGCTCATTGTCATTGTTTTCATTCATAACATTTGTGGCAACGGCATAGACAAATATCTCATTAATATCAATATCTTTACGATTCCATTGCATTCAGTAGAAACGTAGTTTATTGAAATTTCATAATTATCAACGTTTCTATCATTATCTGGAATATCTTCCTCATTTAAGGAAGTTGGATCATCATTTGAGATATTCGTTTTGTCAATATCATTTTCTATGCCAATATTTTCAAATTGTTCATTTTCTTGTTTAGAAGGATGAACATCTTTGACATCACAGATCGATTCCTGCCTTTTAGTTTTTCTTGGTTTTATATCTTTCGATCCAAGTGGCCTGCCACGCTTTTTGCGTATAGAAGAATCATTTGCAAAAGATTTTTCAGAATTCTCTGTTGGGATTTCGATTCTGGCAGGGGCATTCATGGCAGGAATATGTGACTTTGTCACTTTCTTTGTGTCTGTGAATGCATCAGGCAACTGATTTGCAACATTTTGTAAATGGATTATCTTTTGCACCTCTTGCTCACATATATTTGATTTTGAGTCAAGATGTGATAATCCTGTTGCATTCCATGTTATTTCTTTCGTACTTGCGTCCGATTTATTAGTTTCTCCCCCTAAGGTTGGGAATACTGTCTCATTGAAATGACAGTCAGCGAACCGTGCGGTGAATAAGTCACCAGTCATCAGTTCAAGATATTTGATTATTGAGGGAGATTCAAATCCAACATAAATTCCCAACCTTCTTTGAGGATCCATTTTTGTACGATAAGGTGGAGCAATCGGAACATAAACAGCACAACCAAATATTTTAATGTGTGCTAAGTTTGGCTCTTGTCCAGTAACTAATTGCATGGGAGAATATTCATGATATGCAGTCGGTCTAAGCCGAATTAAATTTGCTGCATGTAAAATAGCATGTCCCCAAGCTGATGAAGGTAAATTACACTTCATTAATAATGGTCTAGCGATTAATTGTAATCGTTTAATCAAAGATTCAGCAAGACCATTTTGTGTATGGACATGAGCAACAGGATGCTCCACATCAATCCCAATCGACATACAATAGTCGTTAAATGATTGGGATGTAAATTCTCCGGCATTGTCAAGTCGGATTCTCTTTATAGAATGATCCGGAAAATGAGCTCTTAATCGTATGATTTGAGCAAGGAGTTTAGCAAATGCTAAATTTCTAGTCGATAAAAGACTAACATGTGACCAACGTGTTGAAGCATCAATCAACACCATAAAATATCGAAATGGTCCACATGGTGGGGCTATCGGCCCACAAATATCTCCTTGAATCCTTTCTAAAAATGCAGGTGATTCGGTTGCAATTTTGTTCATTGAAGGCCTGATGATCATTTTGCCAAGAGAACAGGCCTTACAAGGAAAATCACTAGACACTGGAACCCTGATATTCTTTAACGGGTGTCCAAGTGAAGTCTTAATGATTTTATGCATCATTACTTGGCCTGGGTGACCTAAACGGTCATGCCACAACATGAATGTTTTCCGATCATCTAACTTTGTGTTAGAAACCAAATTTATTTCGAATGGACTAATATATGTGAAATATAGTCCTGAGGAATATGCTGGCATTTTTTCACAAAAATATTTAGCGCCAGATTTAGTTGTCGTGAGACAAAGATATTCCTTTTGGTTTTCATTCATGGTTTCTATGTGATAACCATTTTGACGCATATCTTTAAAGCTCAATAAATTTCTCCGCGATTTGCTGGAGTATAAAGCGTCATTTATAATTATTTTTGTCCCATTAGGTAGCATCACATATGCTTTCCCAGAGCCTTCAATGAGCTTCGCAACACCTGATATGGTATTGACTTTAGCCTCAACTAAAGTCATTTGAGAGAAATATATTTTATTTCTCAAAATGGTGTGCGTTGTGGCGTTGTCTATCAGACATAGCTCTTTATCATTTGAGTGATCCATATCTTCAAAATGTGTAAATAAACATTAGCTTGATCACAAATTATGCATTTTATTTAACATAAGAGTACATACATTATACATATTTAATTAAAAACAAAATAAAAAGGGGAAGAAAGAAAAAGTACATAAAACTAGTATTGTAGTATTGTACAACATGAGGAGTCTACTATTTTATTTAGTAACATTTTGGTTTAAGGCAAAAGCATCATCCATAATGGCATCATCCGCGAAAAAATCAGACACGTCAAATTTTGGCAGAGATGGAGTTGTGTCATTGACATAATTAGCTTCCATATTATTGCCTTTGTTCAAATTCATGGAAGATTGAAATAACTCCACCAGATGTTTAGCCGTGCGACATTTATTAGCCCAATGCCCCGTCATGCCACATTTATAACAAGTCGATTTTCCCGAGGGTTTTGGAGGGCGATTTATTTGATGGGCCTTTTGTTTGCCCTTGCCCTTATAATTCGGTCTATTGACTTGTTTATATTCTCGGTGGGACTTGTTATTATGACCATTAAAATGCCCACGTTTAAAATGCCTTCTACTGCCACTGTATGTTGCATTTGATTCAGTGGCTAAATTATGGCCAGATGGACCATAAACCGAAGGACTAGAACCAGTGGGTCTCAGATTATGATTTTTCATCAAAAGGTCATTATTTTGCTCAGCTACCAATAATACTGATATTAAGTCGGAGTATTTTTTAAAACCCTTTTCTCTATATTGTTGTTGTAGCAGCATATTAGAAATATGCATGGTAGAAAAGGTTTTTTCCAACATATCAGCATCAGTGACTCTTTGTCCACATAACTTTAATTTAGATGTTATTTGGAACATTGCAGAATTATAGTCACTGATAGATTTAAAATCCTGGAATCTTAAATTGATCCAGTCGTACTGAGCTTTAGGCAAAAGGACCTTTTGTTGGTGGCCATACCTCTCCTGTAAATTGTCCCATAATTCTTTTGGATCATCAACCAAAAGATATTCACATTTGAGACTTTCATGGAGATGGTGACGGAGAAAAATTATGGCTTTCGCTTTATCTTGGGAAGATGATTGATAATAGCCTCAATAGTGTCTTCGAGACCATTAGCTTTCAAATGTGCTAAAGCATCAACTTTCCATTCCAGGTATTTTTGGCCGGATAGATCAAGAACATCAAATTCTCTTTTGCTTATGTTGGCCATTATATAACTACAAAATTTAGTTACGTTAAATTTAGTAAAATTTATATATAATCGGTAATACTCTAGAGTACATGAAATAACATACTCTGTATTCAAAATTTTATACCATATAAAATTAAGCAAATAAAATAACAACAAATAAGATGCCATAAACTACATCCAGATAATTAGTTAATTTTATACCGTATAAAATTATGCATATTACTATCGTAACCCTTCATATACGAAGTGTGTGTGTGTGTATATATATATATATATATATATATATATATATATATATATATATATATATATATAAATTGGTCTGCGAGTCTAGTCATTCACAACGGATCACAAGAAGATCCCTGTCCTCATTCACAACGGAAAACCGGTCTGCGAGTCCCTAGTCATTCTTGAGTACGTTGACGAGGTCTGGAATGAAAAGTCTCCATTGTTGCCTTCTGATCCTTACAACAGAGCCCAAGCCAGGTTCTGGGCTGATTTTGTTGACAAGAAGGTATCTAATTTTATTATATTTCCTTCATTCCAATTTGGTTGTTACATTCAAAAATAGTATTCTATTTCCTTTTTAAAAAGAAATACTCCCTCCGTCCCGTTGGAATGTTCCCGCTTTCCTTTTTTGAATGTCCCGTTAGAAAGTTCCCATTTCCCTAAATGGAAAGTTATACTACATCAAAACAGGGTCAAACAGTGCAAAATAGCGTCAAACAGTGTCGAAACAGTGCCAAACAGTGTCGAAACAGTGTCAAAACAGTAAAATTTACCCCCTGGTAAGTTTATTTCATTAATATGTGTGTAGGTCAAATCGGGAACATTCCAACGGGACGGAGGGAGTAATAATTCATATTATTTCACTTTATTTTATACAAATTTTACTTTTCAACCATTTTATTAATAATTATGCCCATCTAAAACAAGACAATCAATATGGGATGTATGTAGTATGGAGTATTATTTTTCAAACCCACTAGGCCATTGCCCAATATATTATTTTCCAATTTGATCTAAACTTAAAATTTCAATTTCAATTAGGGGTGTTCTTAAGGCTTTCAATTTGATTGAAATTTATGATTTGACTTGTAATGATATGTTCCCTTAAAAATATGGTATATGTGTAATTTACTATTTATTAAATCTAATTTGATCTATTTTAAGGAAAAATTGACAAAAATAATCTCACCTTTCACTGGTCTTCTTGTAATAATTTCAGCTTTACGTAATCCCAGAATAATCCCAGAATATAGGAGGTCACCTTTCACCATGACCTCCTATACCAGGGCTTTTACCCTTTCTTTGAAAACCTTAAATAAATAATCTCACCTTTCAGAAATCTGCACAAAACGGTTCCATTTTTCATTTTTTCTTTCTCCCTAAAATTTTTCTTTCTATATTTTCATCCCTAGACATTTTTTATTACTTTTTCTATCCTTTTGTTTTTATTTCTTTTCCATTTTTATTATTCTATTTCTCACTCAATTAGGAGAGTTTTATTTGTAAAATTTCTCTTCAAAATAACTCTTTTGTCGTTTTCTTTTTCTTTCCGTATTTTTATTTCATTTTCCCTTTTATGTTTTTCTTCTTAATCATTCTCTTCTTATTAAAGATCTTTTTCCCACTGAACTTTTTCTTATACGTAGTATTTTCTTTTTATTTTAACTTTCCCACTTTTTTCTACTTGTTTGTTTTTTTAAGTTTTTTATTCTTTCTTCTTGTTAGCTTATTTCCACCATCAACATGTCTTTTCTCCTTTTTCATTATCATATTTTTCTAAGTAAATCCACCCATTGATTTCATCAATTGTGGGGAAAACTCTATGTGATAAAATGATTATGGAAATATAAAACATTTGAGAAATGTATAGAAAAATAATTTTTTTCTTCTTTCATTTTCACGAATGTTTTATTTTTCTTTTAATTTAATTTTTCCCTAATCCTTTTGTCACAGAAATATTTTCACATAGGTTATGGAATTAATGGGTGGACTTACTAAGAAAATACGATAATGTAGAAATGAGAAAAAAATATATTGATGGTGGAATTAAGATAACAAGATTAAAGAAGAAAAAACAAAAAAATAACAAGAAGAAAAAAGTGGAAAAGTGAATAAAAAGAAAACATAACAAAAAGTAGGGTATGTTTGGCACAACTAGCTGAAAAGATACTTTTGTGAGCTTTTTAATAACTGTTAGCTTTTAGTGACTGAAAAGATCTTAAAGAGAAAAGGTGATAGCTGTTTGGTAAAAAGTTGATTGTTTGATTTAGTTCGGTTTGGTATACAAACTGTTAGGACTAATTAATACTAAAAGTCACGGGCTTTTTTCAGATGCTACTTCGTGTAGCATCTCAAAAAAGATCTTTTAATTTTTGAAAAGCTGTTAAAATTGTCATGTCAAACATATAACTAGAAGCTTTTAGAAACTTTTTGAAAAGTACAAAAGCTAGAAGGTAGAGACTTATGCCTGCCAAACATAGCTGTAAAGTGAGAAAAGAATCTCCATTGTTGCAAAAAAGAGCTATTTTGAAGAGAATTTTTACAAAAAAAAACTCCATATAGAGTAAGACATAGAATAATAAAAATGGAAAAGAAATAAGAACAAAAGGATGTAAAAAGGAATAAAAAATGTTTAGGGATGAAAATAAAGAAAGAAAAATGTTAGGGAGAAAAAAGAAAAACTCAAACATGGGATCGTTTTGAGCAGATTTCTGAAAGGTGAGATTATTTATATAAGGTTTTCAAAGAAAAGGTAAAAAACCTAATATAGCAGGTCATGAACAGATCATGGTCCAAAGAAAGAAGATGGGTGCAAAGGTGAGATTATTCTAGGATTACGTAAATGTGAGAGTATTATGAGAAGACCAGTGAAAGATGAGATTATTCTTATCAATTTTTCCCTATTTGAATCGAGTTTGATTATTTTTTAAGAACAAACAAGCAACCTCCCATTAATCCAAACAATCGTTAGCCCGTTAACTCAAAATACAAACGGGTCAAAACTAAGCTCTCTACCACTCGCATTAGAAAGTGCAGCCCCGGCATATCCTCACGATTCGTGGATCGGTTACAAACCTGTTTAATTACGAAGAATTTATTAAGATCTTCAACAACTGTATCCAAATAATAACACGCTCCCAGCCTTGCCCTTGAGCCTATGCTGTTGCCTCCCGCACTCCAATTTCTTCCGCGAAAAATCAAATAATCTGAAATCCATCCAAATAACTTTGTTCACGCGGTTTTGTTTAGGTTCAGTTTGGTCATTTCATTTTCTCCCCCACTTTCTTTTCCAGTCAGCTTTCATTATATTCTATCAATCCATTTGTGGTTCGAGTGTATAGAGACAAATTCTTATTAATGATGCAGATCTATGAGAGCTTGAAGGCATGGTTGTTCAAAAAGAAAGATGAAAAAGCCATTAAAGAGGAACTAGTAGAAAGTCTGAAGGTTTTGGAAGGGGAGCTTGGAGATGGCCCTTATTTTGGAGGGAGGGAGAGCATTGGGTTCTTGGATTTAGTTTTGGTGTCATACTATACATGGCTTCTGGCTTTTGAGAAGGATTTAAAGCTCAACATGGAGAGCCAGTGTCCAAAGATGTTAGAATGGGGCAAAAGGTGCCTACAAAATAAGGTCATCTCCAACAACCTTGCAGACCCTTTGGAGATTTATGAGTTTGTTTTGAAGATGAGGAATATGAGCAGCCTTGCTTGATTTGAGACAAAATCACATATGCCTGCAATCAAATAATATTGACTAATAACCCTTTACTTGAATAAGGATGAAACGGTCAATCTACAATTTAAATACTGGCATTACGCCATTACTGTGGCATTAGATGAAGAGAGAATGGTCTAATGTGATATTCATAGTGAACACTAAACTAGCCAATGGAGCAAGGGGTCTTGTATTACAGAGTATTATATTCATAATAATAATTATTATATAATAATAATAATCAACCCGGAAGTGCTTTTTTAACATGCTATACAGACAATCTCACACTTATTTTTTACGTTTTTTGACTAATTGCTTGTATACAAATGACGTGTATAAAACGATTTTTCCAAAAGAAATCTCCCATTCGCCTAATCATTCCCTTCTCTTTCCACCAAATGTCCAAAAATCAAGCAAAAAGATGACACCCATCCCTGAGGATCCCCAACACCGACAGGACAGTTATTTGGATGATGTTAGGGATGGATTCGGTTCGGGCCACCCGGCCCGTGACCCGGCCCGGCCCGGTACTGTGCGGGCCCGGGACCGGCCCGGTCGGGCGGTCCGGGACCGGGTCTGGGCCCGAACCGGGGGGAAGGGGCGGGGCGGGCTCGGTTCAGCATTTTTGTGACCCGGCTCAGCCGGGTCGGGCCCGGGCCCGGGTCCGGTTCGATCAATTTTTTTAAAAAAAAAGTTTTTTTGGGTTGGGCTCCTACTAGCCGTTGGGGGTGAGGCTGGGGACAACCCAAACGGCTATATAGCCGTTGGGTGGGTTATAGGGGGGTCCGGGGGGGTTGGGTGGTGGGGGGGTAAAAAAACCTATAAATACTCCTAATCTTAAACATTTTTTCATATCTCTTCTCCAATTCTTCCTAAATCCTATTCTTAACTCTCTACTCTCTAATTCTCTTATTCTCCATTCTCCAATATATTATATTTATTATTTATAGTTTATATTAATTATCTACTTATATAAACTATAAATAGATATAAATAGTATTATATTACTTATATTTGTTATCTAATTATATATTACTTATATATTTATTATATCTATTAATATAGTTGGAATTATATCTAATTAATTTGAAGTCATTCTATTACTCCCATCCGAAAGACCGAAAGACCAAAAGTCCGAAAGAGGTACGAAATTATTCTATTATTTACACTTGTTTAATTACTAGTTAATTAGTATAGTTGGAATTACGATTTTTTATTAATATAGTTGGACAATTTTTTATTAATTGCTACATTTGACTCTAGTTTATAAAATATGTTGTACACAAAACTAGTTAATTCACTACTTAATTTGCTATAACTCGAATTAATAGTTACATAAATAGTTAATTAGTTTTTTACAATTTTTTATTAATTGCTACATTTGACTCTAGTTTAAAAATAATGTTGTACACAAAACTAGTTAATTCACTACTTAATTTGCTATAACTCGAATTAATAGTTAGATAAATAGTTAATTAGTTTTTTACAATTTTTTATTAATTGCTACATTTGACTCTAGTTTAAAAAATATGTTGTACACAAAACTAGTTAATTCACTACTTAATTTGCTATAACTCGAATTAATAGTTACATAAATAGTTAATTAGTTTTTTACATTTTTTTATTAATTGCTACATTTGACTCTAGTTTAAAAATAATGTTGTACACAAAACTAGTTAATTCACTACTTAATTTGCTATAACTCGAATTAATAGTTAGATAAATAGTTAATTAGTTTTTTACAATTTTTTATTAATTGCTACATTTGACTCTAGTTTAAAAAATATGTTGTACACAAAACTAGTTAATTCACTACTTAATTTGCTATAACTCGAATTAATAGTTACATAAATAGTTAATTAGTTTTTTACAATTTTTTATTAATTGCTACATTTGACTCTAGTTTAAAAATAATGTTGTACACAAAACTAGTTAATTCACTACTTAATTTGCTATAACTCGAATTAATAGTTAGATAAATACTTAATTAGTTTTTTACAATTTTTTATTAATTGCTACATTTTTTAGATGGATCGTCCTAGATATTCGGTTGATATGGGTAACCTCGAGCGCAACCGAACGAACGAGCTTGCGAGGAAGAGATCCCGCAAAGGTAAATCACATCTCGGCTCTTCATCTCAAAGTCAAGATGATTTTGATACGGGTTACGTAAGGAGGGATGGGGATGCGATGACCGACGAACAACTAGAACAAGAATTGCACCGACATAATTCCCGCTTTTTTCAAGACCAACCGAGGACCATTGACGAAGAAGAGCTCGAGGACGAGGACGACGATGTGGAGGAAGCAATTCCGGAGAGCCACGACGACGAGGAGGAGGAGGGTGGCGGCAGCCATGACGCCGACCAAGCAGCCTCATCCCAAACAGGTACAAAAAAAAGTAAATCTGAATTAATGGCTAATAATTTTTCTAAGTGGAAGGACCCGAACACCGGGAATTGGACCGCAACTTGCAATTGGTGCAAGAAAAACTATAGCTTGGGGATTTCCGGCGGATACGGATCCGCCACAAGACACCTTAAGTCCAAACACCCGGTGGACTATGCAAAATTAGGCGGCGGAACGGGGAAACAAACGCAAATATCGAGGTTTGCAAATAACCAACAAGCTTTTGGTAATTTCTCATACAATGATGCACAAAATTTGACAGGTATGGCTAACTTACTTGTTGAAGAAAATTTGCCTTATTTGTTTTCTGAAAGTCTTGCTTTTCGTGATTATGCACAAACTTGTTTAAATCCGCAATATAGAGGTTATAGTCGCAAAACGGTTAAGAAAGAAATTTCAAGGTTTTATGGTGCGGAAAAGGTAAGGTTACAAAATTATTTTGCAATGTTTGATGGACCTGTTACTGTATGTTCTGACATATGGGAGGATACTTATCATAATTTACATTATTTGGGTCTGACTGTACATTATATTGATAATGATTGGCATATGCATAAACGTGTTCTTGCTTTCCGTGAATTTAATGATCGTCACACCGCTGAACATATTTATATTTTGATTGAACGTATTTTAATTGAGTATAATTTAATTGATAAGGTGTTTGCTATTGGTTTTGATAATGCTACTAATAATACTGCTGCTATTCCTAGATTGCGTGAATTGTGTGGTTCTACTTCTTTGATGGGTAGATTTTTTCATCAACGATGTGCATGTCATGTTCTAAATTTATGTGTGCAAGATGGTCTAAAAGCGTTGGGAGCATCGTTGGAGGTAGTCAAGGGGGGGATTAGACGTATTTGGGGTAATGGACACCTTAGGAAAAAATGGCATGATTATTTGATAGAAAGAGGTGAGAGATATGTGGCTTTTCCAAAAGATTTGTCTATTCGTTGGAATAGTACCTATAAGTTAATTGGAGTTCTTCTTAGATATAAACAACATTTTCCTGCTTTTATGAAACAATATGATAACTATATTATAAACTCGGCTGAGATCGACACCTGTGAAAAAAATTTGTAATGCTTTGATATATTTTAATAATGCAACTGAAACTTTTAGTCATGTTTATAAACCTACCTCAAACCAATTTATTCGTGAAGCTGTTAATCTCGCCGGTGCTTTTTCAAATTTTGAGAATGCTGATTATGTGAATTATTTTGCTGGTTTTATGAAGGAAAAGTTTTTAAAATATTATTCACATATTCCGCATATTTATGGTATTGCATTTGTTCTCGATCCTCGTTTTAGACTTGGTTCTTTAGAAGAATGTTTGAATTATTATTATGCTGCTTTTTTTGGTCCATTGCCAATGTATGAGGACAACCCAATTGATCCGAAAAAAGAATACAACGAGGTTAGTGATATATTTTATGCATTATTCAATGAGTTTCATGCACAATATGGCAATGCGCCCCCTCCCCCGACACAAACATCATCTAAAGGAAAATCAATTTTCAAATCTACGTTTGACAATCTTATTAAAAAAACAAAATCAACTCCCGCTACACAACAAAGCACAATTAATGAGATTTCTTTGTATTTAACTTATGATGTTGATTTTGAAGAAGATGATGATTTTGACGTACTAAACTGGTGGAAGGGAAAAGAAAGAATGTTCCCGGTTTTAGCAAAGATGGCTAAGCAAGTGCTATCAATGCCGGTTTCAACGGTTGCCGTGGAACAAGAATTTAGTTCGGCCGGCAATGTTCTAACACAAACCAGAACGAGGTTGAGCGCTGAATCTCTTGAGATGCTTATATGCTACCACGATTGGTTGAAAGCAACACGTAGAGCTCAAGAAATTGACATCACTCCATCCCAACACTTTATGGATGAATCTACAGAGGGTAGCTCTACTTATGCCGGAGATTCCGATTAAAAACAATTATAGTTCCTATTTAATTTTCAAATGTAGTTCCTATTTCATTTCAAATAAATGCACTTGAAGTTTGTTTTTTAATACTTGTATAAAACTATAAAGTATAAAATATAAATTAAAAAAAAAAATTACCCGGCCCGACCCGGCCCGGCCCGGCGGGTGGCTTGACCCGTGACCCGGGCGGGTGGCCCGGCCCGAACCGGACCCGTCCAACCCTCGGGACGGTCCCGGGCCCACTATTCTAGAACCGGCGGCCCGACCGGGCCTAGGCCCGGCCCGAATCCACCCCTAGATGATGTAAATTGAACTTTAATTACAAGTTGACAGATAGCGAGTGAAGCGCTGGTCTAGGTAGTGCAGAGGTCATATGAACTTTTACATAATAACCTCTCATTGTAGTTGCCGAGATTTGAATCCGAGACTTATCCGTAGTGACATCCCATATCTACGAGTTGAGCTACGTTTAGCGCGCTGCATCAATAATAGAGCAAAAGTTCTTCAAAGTTGCCCCTTGAACAGTGTTGCCTTAGGATGTGGTGGCAATAATGTTCAATCAATAAATCAAATTAACAAATAGTTTGTATAGAAATTGGGTATTCACTGATTTCTACACACCTTCTAGACTGCTATGACAAATCAGTTTGAAATGACTGATTTGGGATTACTTCACTACTTCCTTGGTTTGGAGATCATGCAAGGGAAAGAAGGCACATTTCTGTATCAAAAGAGATATGCATCAAATCTGCTTAAAAGGTTCCATGTTGAAGCTGGTGACACTACAAAAACACTTATGAACACTAATGAGAAACTGCAGAAGGATGATGGTACAGGAGAGGGAGATGCAAGGCTGTACAGAAGCCTGGTAGGAAGGCTGAACTATTTGACTCACACCATACCTGACCTTGCTTATTGTGTTAGCATTGTATCTAGGTATATGCAGAATCCTACAAGACAGCATTTGGGTGCAGCAAGAAGGATCCTAAAGTATGTGGCTAACACATTGGACTATGGGATATGGTATTCAAGTACAAAAGATTTCAAATTGAGAGGCTTTACTGATAGTGATTGGGTTGGCTGTGTGGATGATAGGAAGAGCACATCTGGCTCAGTGTTTGATTTAGGATCTGGAGCTGTGACCTGGAGTTTAAAGAAGCAAGATACTGTGGCACTATCATCTTCTGAAGCAGAGTATGTGGCTGCAGGAGCTGCAGCAAAACAAGCTATTTGGATAAGCAAACTGTGGGTGGATTTGGGCTGCAAAGAAATTGATACTCCTGAGCTATGGTGTGACAATAAATCTTCCATAGTCATGACCAAGAATCCAGCTTATCAGTCAAGGACAAAGCATATAGATCTGCAATATCATTTCATTAGGCAATTGGTGTCAAAAGGAAAGGTTTCACTTCAATTCTGTGGCACTCATTGGCAGAATGCAGATTTGTTCACTAAAGCCTTGAATTATGAGAAGCATTGTCATTTTATGAAGAGGATTGGGATGTGCAAGCTTGGATCAAGGGGTGGTGTTGAATGTGATCAAGCTTGAAGCTTTAGAGATGCATGGGACTGCATGGATTGGTCACGGATGCTTGCTCACGTGGATTATGCTAAAATAATATTTTGTTCATGTGTTTATTCATGTTTAAGTTATTTGTTAATTAACATTAAGAGTTAGTTATTTGTTTGAATAATTCCTAAAGTTGTTAGCTATTAACTTGGGCTGTTTCTGCACGTTAGATTAAGGTTGAACTTTAGGAGTTAGTTGGTTACTCTACTTGGCTATTATTCATTGTAAATTGGCTATAAAAAGCCTATGTTCATATACGAATATACATGAGTTCAATTGGTCATTCTTTGCCTTGTATCCTCTTTCATTCTTGTTGTTCATATTGAGTAAGAATATACAACATTTGGTTTCGTGGCTATGGGGCGATAATAAAATATAAACAATGATTTTTACGTGGAAACCCGGAAAGGGAGAAAACCACGGGACTGTTTAGGCTAATGTCCAAGCCCTCTCATTCTCATTAATCTCTCCTCACCATTACAATGTACAAGTTTGAGCCTTGGTAGCCATTAATGGAGCTCCAGGCTTTAGAGAGAAGTGGGGTGTGGGGAAGAAGAGGAAAAGTCCCTATTTATAGAGAAAGGGGGAGGTGCATTTCTACCCTAATGGGCCAAAGTGGGCCAAAATAGACCTGAAAGGCTGAAACGGGCCGAAACAGGCCTCACTGATTGGGCTTTGTGCTGGGTAATGTCTTGAGCTCCTGAACAATAATAGGTCGGGATAATATACCTCAACAATATCTAAAAATTGATTAGAAACATACTCCCTCCGGTCCTAAATAAACTTCACACTTTTCATTTTGGGTAGGTCCAAAATAAACTTCACACTTCTTCTCTCTTCCTTATTTGGCAAATTATCTACATCAAAACAGTGCAAAACAGTGCAAAACAGTGCAAAACTGTGTCAAATAGTGTCAAACAGTGTCACAACAGTGGACTCTACAGTAAAGTCAAATTTATTTCCTTAATTTGTGTGAAGTCAAAGTGTGAAGTTTATTTAGGATCGGAGGGAGTATGTTAAATGTCAAGACCATGTTTAAGACAATTGATGGTGCTTTTTCTATTCTCAGGTTGAAATTTTTAATGCTTTAAGATTACAACTTTCAATCAGTTCGAAATATATTGAATCATTTTTTGGAGTTCAATGTGACTTTTAAGCCTTATATGGCATTATTCACTTAATTTCATAGTAGGACATCAAGTATGACTTCATTATAAAGTGGTAATCATACAATAGATTAAAATCAGTTCATGTGACTCCTTGATAGATTTTAAAATTTAATGTCAATCTAATGAATTTTTACGTTGAATGAATTATTTATTGTTACCTCCGTCCCCTAACAATGAATGATACAAGAAGAGATGGTGTCATTACTAAGAAACGTGATACATTGCTATTGAATTCAGAAAGTGAAATAAAGTAAGATGATTTGCACTGATAAAATGTTGTACTTATATGACAAAAATGGTGAGCATATCGGGTATAGTCTTTCACGCTTCGTAAGACTATTATTTTATGTTTTCTGTCATTTGTTTTTAATACTCCCTCCGTTCCTAAATAAACTTCCATCTTTCCTTTTTCATCCGTTCCAATTAAATTTCCACTTTCTTTTTTTGGTAAAGAATTTGTGGTTCACAACATTTCTTACACATTTCTCTCTCCTCTGCACAACTCTCCACCACACAATACCCATTTTTCTTAAATTATGTGCCAATGTGGGTTGGAAGATAAAATAGGAACGGAGGTAGTATCTTTTAGGAAAAATGGAAAATAATAATCTCAATTATTGCCGGTTCGCTACTAATAATCCCAACTATCGATTATTCCTTGGTGGTCCCAACTATAGTGACCATTTTCTAAAAATAGTCCCTAACCTGCTACAACCTGGTATAGCAGGTCAAATTTAAATGCAGACTATACGTAAGTTATATATAATCCCAACTATAGTCGATCTTCTTTTATTAATCCCAATTATCAACTCTCAATTTTAAAAAAAAAATATAATAATTTTTTTATAAATTGCCAAATTAAATATTTTTAAACATGTAAAAATAATTAAGAAAATTCTGCAAACGTATAAAAGTTAAATAAAAATATTTTTAGTCATTTTTATTTATTTTCACTAAAATTTCATTTTCTTTTTCTTTTTTCCAATTTATTTTTCCTAGTTTTGTTAACAAGTTATGG